CCACCCCATGGCTGGAGCTGTCTGGGCAGTTTACCATCCCTCTGAGATCCCTGTTATTGTAGCCAAGCCACCAAATGACATTGTGAGGATACACATTGTCTCCATAATCATGCTTTAACTTTCCTCATAGGAAATTAGGGTATCTGTTCATTTATTTAGGACAGGGATCCCCAACCTTTTTGGACTGGAGTAGTGGAAATGCAGAAGACATTTTTCTTAGGGAAGTCAGTGGTGCACAACAAATCGCCTCATCTCTTGTCTAGACTTCTGGGTGGGCCTGTTGCTTTTAGTAGTTAACAATGCTGCTTCTTCCTATGATTAATTATCTATTCAGACTGTCCAGCTTGAGAGATATGCTTCTGGCAAGATCAAGGTTAGTGGGTTGTTAGGAGAGTATTTGTGCTGGATTACTGCCAACCATTCTCAAAGTCATTGAACTAGTTTCAAAATAGGAGTGGGATTACTAGAACTATATAATAGTATATATGAAATCCTGAAACATTCAAGGTGGGGATTTCAACACTGGACAATCTAGAAAGGTACTCCATATGAAAGGTCATTCCAGGAGTCTTGTCATGTTTGATTCTGGGATCTCTTGACATCACTGGGGATGTCCACTTGTGATCTTGCTTTGAAGTAGATTGTGGCAATTATTCTGTTCTGCTTTCTTCTGCTTTAATTGTTCTTTTAATTTGTTTCTGTTTTCAGTCTTCAGCCATTAGTATGTTTAATGTAATCTTAATCCCTATAAATAACCATTGCCTCTTGGGACTAGAGCTGGCAACCACATTTGAAATTTTAAGTGACATGAGTATTCTCACAAAATGGCTGCCCTGGATGGGTTTACCCTTTCACAAAATTGCTGTCATGCTTGGGATGGCCAAGCATAAAACACCCATGCTCTAGAAAGCAAACTAGTGAGTTTAAAAGAAAAGTAACTTCTCCAGAAACCTAAGTTCAGAGCAGAAAAATACAAAGCCATTCTCTTAGAACTGCCCCTTTTTGCACAACACCCATTTCACATAAACTAACAAGGCTCTGAGACAAATCATTTGACCAAGAAACTGAGTACAAGCAGAGGTAGGCTTTAAGTCTCAAATGCCAAATTGTGCATTTGTGTCCACAAAGTACAAAAAATGCCCATTCCACAAAAAGCAAACTGGAGATGATCAGGAAAACACACCCCATGGACAAGATGCCCACTCATACCACGCAATCTGAGAAATGCGTACAGCACACATACACTGAGCAAAATACCCCATGCCAAACACATATCCCCCTTCTCCCAACAAAAAGGCAAATCACATCCCTCCCTCTTCACTGCCCCCTCTAGGTCATCTACTACCCAAAGCTCACCTTTTCATTTTTGAGGAAGCAGGGCACAGAATCGAGGTCTAGGCTGCAGCCACACACCACTTTTATTCTCTAAGAAAGCCTCTGGGGTTCCTGTGGAGCCAAGAGGCCTTCCTGGGAGTAGGTGATGCTGGAGACTGGCATTTTGCATCATGTCTGCCCCTCAGTTACAAATCAATAGTAATAATGATTAAAAATTCTAAAGGTAATTAAAAATTAGGAGGGGCAAGGAGCCCACCATGAGCCAGAAACTCACCTGGGGGAACATTGATGTCCAGGGGCATTGCATTGGCAATTTCAGCCACAGGAAAGTTAGAGTTTGGCTGAGTTGCCTTCACCGTATGGCTAGCCTTCAGTACAGCCAGAGAACAGAAGAAATGCAAGGAGAGTCACTGTGATATGCCTTAGCTCAACACATCTTTTTCCAAAAGTGTGAATTAACCACATTTTTACTCTCTCCTTAGAGGATGGTGATTTTAGAATTACGTACCACCTTTTGACCATGTGGGATATTCAAAACAACAGGGTTCAAACAAAATATCAAAAAAGAACAGCACCTGGTGCAAAGGATTAAGCTCTTTGCATTTGTTTCCTATTTGAGCAAGTACAGAAACAGAAGAGCATATAAATCATTGTAAAAGGAAATGAGCAATTATTGGTAAAAGCAAAATCGTGAAAAATAGAATTGGGAAGCCAATTTTGCCTGGGTGAATGGGGCTGTGTAATAACCATGTCTAAGTATGAATTGAGTTATTTGCATTAAAGAATGGTTGAGGGAAATTGAATAGATGCTCTCTCTCTTTTTGAGAAAGCAAGGAGGTGAATATATGAAAAAGTGCTGCCAAACATAAAGCTCTTTGGGAAGCAGGTTGGGGGAGGCACAAAATGTCTCCAAAATGCATGAATCAACTTTGGTAATGAACTGACCGTCCTCAGGCTTAAACTGTATTAATTCTTCAGATGACAGGTACTGGGAATGTGGGGAGAAGAAATGCATTTTGAATATCCTAACAAAGGGTATGCTTTTTCAGAAAGCAAGAAATGTTACCTTTGATTGTCCTGCATTCCTAATCATTTCCAGCCTGCAACCTGGGCTCTATTCACATGCTGCTTGGGTCTCTATTTCCCTGGTGCACTCCTAATGGATTCCAGAGCTCGGGAATGAATGATGGACCCTGGCTTGGCATTTCCATCACTGCTTGTTTTTGCATTCATTATCCTTGAAAAACCAGTGCACCTCATTACAACGTGACCATCTTCCAGGGAGAGGCGGGAAGCTGGCTGCTCCTTTGGAGCAAAGGAAGAGGCAGGAGGGAGTCTGTTTCCCATGAGATAACATTATCTTTTTATTAAAAGAGTGAATTTAGTGCTGGTGAAAGGCCGGTAGACCCTGGAGGATGAAGTCCTTTATTTAGTCCCATAACAGATTCAGCCCAAGCAATGGCAGTGATGCTCCTGTCTTTGTACTTTAGCCAGAGGGCTTTGGGGGTTATTTCATGCTAGCTTCTCCAATGCAGAAATTAATGTCCATTTAAGAAAGAGTATTAACTTTGTAATGGATAAATGGGAGTGTGGTGGCTTCCCCCCTTTTTGCAGCATGCATGCACTGAGCAAAGTTATGCATGGGGGCTTACTCATGTGCATACCATGGGCCAAACAATGCATGTTCTGCTGTTCAGACATAATATGACACATGCTTTCCTGCTCTTGAACAATAGGCCCCGACAAAAATTACTTGTATCATGATCATGTGAAAGGCACTCTTGGGTGAAGATATGGAGAGGTCACTCTCCACATTCCTTCAGTGCTGCAAAGTGTCGCGGGTAGTAGAAAGGAAGAGAACCTGTGCTTTGGAAGACTGCAGGGTGGATCAGGACATTTCACAGATGTGAGGACTACAGACATGCAAATTGCTCAGACTCCTGATTTATTTATTTATTTGCTTTATTACATTAGTATGCTGCCCCATAGCCCACAAGGCTCTCTGGGTGGCTTACAATAAGGCAAATAATGCAAAATCAGTACAGATACAATAGTATAATGAAAGCAAATGCAAGTTCAAATACAAATATACAGTATTAGCGCGAAGCAATACAAAATGAAAACATAATTACTTGGTACAATAATAAAATACATGTTAAATAATAAAATATGTCTATAACCCTTCCCCCCACACAAAACCCCAAACCCACTAGTACAAATTGGCTGAAAAAACAGCCACCACAGCCCTGCCTTGACATCTCTCCTACACTGCAGTGCAACAGGGTATCCCAAATGGGCTCTTGAATGCTTATTTCTAATACAACAGCTGAAGCAGGAATATTCCTTGCAAGGAGAAATACAGGGTATAAATGTAATGGAGCAATAACAATGTAATAACATTAGCTATATTGCAAGTAGCAAGAACAATGCAGACTTGCATCAGGTTTACACAAGAACAGGCTTGTACAGTGTTTTTTTCATCAGCAAGCACTCTAACCACGAGCTTTTCCCCCTGTAACATCATGAAAGTTATCCTAAACATGCAAAGCAAGTTGTAAAATTCCCACCTTATTTCCAAAGTTGGATTTCTATGATTCAATTAAGTCTTATTTGAGTTTGTCATTTATATCTGGGGATCTATTGTACATCATTGGGGTGTGCATGAGCTTTATCATCAAGAGAGATCTACAGTGTTGCTTCTTATTTGGAAAGTGCTTTGCACAGCTTTCACCAAAAAGCCTACCACCAAAAAGGCCCTGTTCTCATCTAAAGTTATCCTGATCTCCTTGAATGAAGGATCTTTGAACAAGGCCTTGCCAGATTTAATTGATAGGTTGGTTGATGGCCTCATACCATGCAACAAGATTAAATGAATACCTACCAAGAATAATATGACTTCTTATTATAAAGAAATGGGGAGGTAGATTGCATATCACTATTAGAGGGCTTGCACCCTCTCAGTGGCTGTACAGATGAAACAGATCTTCAGCTTTTCAAGTTCCCCAGCAGCCCTGTGAAATGACAATCTATATATAGAGTAAGATTCTTCATTTTGTAGAGTTAGAGTAACGTAGCCTTAGTACTGAGAAGTAAGCCATTGCTGATATAAAAAGAACACACCAGGGGAATGTCTTTGTCAGAGGGACAATCCCACCATCTATATCATGCAGGTACAGAGAGGAGCATTGTTGGCATCTGGCAAGAATGGTTGTGGACACCAGGCATATTAGAGAGTCATATAACTGTCAGGCTAATGGCCACAGGGACAATTTAGTTTAAGATGGAACTTTTTATTATTTATAAACCATTCTTACTCTATCCCAACTGTTAACTATTTTAATGATTCTGTGGTTTGTGCTAGAAGAAATCTTACATCTCTCTTTACTGAATCTTATCTCTCTGGCCCCTCTAGTCACATGCTTCTAAATCCCTTCCTGTTCATTACAATTGCACCTTGTGACCCTGCTAAAGTGGTCCTTGATTCAGTAAAGAGGAGACTATCAGGTTTCCAAGGAAAGCTCCTTTCAAAGATAGACTGAATGCCAGATCTGGTTTTAAACAATATGCATGTAACATTTATTCTATGATATAAAGAATACAGAAGTATCTGTATTCTTATCAAGAGGCCTCATTCACACTTGCATTCATGCAACACTCATACTCACAGCCAAAAGACCTTCTTGGTGATCCATCGGGACTGTGGGTGACCAGTAGCAGCACTGTTCTGGCACACACGGGAGCTGGAAAGCCCAGTCATTTTATACCTTAAAGCTGACTCTGTCAGCTTAGTCCAGCTGGATCAAACAGTGAACTCCTCTGAGCAGAGCTGATACACAGAATGTGCTGGTCTTTATCTTGAACACACACATTCTCGTCACATTCCATTCTCTCTCTGGATGGAACAGTGTGGGCTTATCTGTTATGTTCCATTCTCCAACCACTCCCGGCCTCTCAGTTTTCTCAGTCTGGTCAGTCCCATCATGCTTTTTCATTCTTCATTTTCTTCTGGGTCTTAGGCCTTCAGGAACCCAGGCACACTGTAACAACCTGATGAGTGCACATGCTTCCTTTGATGAGAATTTAGGGCAGTCAGGCTCCTACGATGTGCCTCTCTTTCCTCCCAGTGCAGAACAGACATTCTTCAACCTTGGGAATCAGGCTTTCTATCAAAATGACCCTGATAGAGCTGAATTGCAACAAACCACTGCACATCCATCTAGGATATAGCTGGCAGAATCCAAAGTGAAACTCATCCCTCATTTTCTAAATTAGACAATTGCCAGTTGAGTAAGTGGTTGTGATATCTGGAGCCACATTTTGTTTTAAAAGCCTTGTGTGATTTGGTCTGTTCTGATTCTAATCATAGCTCCACAAGGAGCTCTGCCTCAGGCAGCAGCTTCTGGGGTACTAATAAAGGACAGCAAATTGACAATTATGTACTCTATTGCTGTATTATCTTTACCACCATGGGTGTGGGGAATTTGGATTTTCTCTCTTAGATGCTGAAATGTTTTGAGCTATCTCTGACTCCTAGCTGAGCAGATCAGAGGAAGTTTTCCCAGTTGGTCTGGAGACTCTGGGATACAAGTGGCCAAGTTCCCAAGGAGCGAGCGAGCAGGGAGAGCAAACAGGAGCTTGGTGGTGGAGTGGTAGTGGAAGAGGAGGCAGAGGCAGAGGCAGAGGCAGAGGCAGAGGGGTGGGGGCCTGGACTAGCCCAGCAGCAGTCTCTTCCAAGAGCCCATGTGCTCCTGAGAGCTGCAACTGAAAGGGACCGGCCTGATTGCTAGCAGCAGCTGTGTGGTTGGGGTGATTCATTTTGGTTCCTGACTCCCAGCTGAGCAGATGAGAGCAAGCTGCCCCAGCTTCTCTGGGATATAAGCAGCCAATCTGGCAGAGAGTGAGTGACCAGAGTGAGTAAACAGGGAGAACAAACAAGAGTTGGCGGTGGAGTTTGCTGGGGGAGGTCAAAGGGGAAGTCCTTAACATTTCTCTTCTTTTCCTTATCCCCCCCTTCACCCTCCTCCCTTTGTTTTCTTCCTTGTAACATATTTGCATTTACTGGTAGGACTATGTTGTTAAGCTTTAGTGAAGAAAGGAAATAGCACCGGTTGTTACAACAGGACCAACAAGGTAGAATAAAAAAGGTAGCAGAAAGAATGGACTGAGAAGACTCCCTAGCGGTGGTGACCTGTAAAGGCTGTGCTGTTTGTTTTCTTGCCCAAGGTCACCATGGCCGACATGTGCAACAATTGCAAGCTAGTAGCCCTGTTAGAAGAAAAGGTGTGTGCACTAGAGCAGTGAGTGTCTGCCCTCAACGTAATAAAAGAAGATGAAGAGTTTTCAGACAGAGCTAGAAGTACAACAGCAAGATGAGGAAGGAGAGGAGAATCTTGAGGGGAGGGAAAATGAGAAGGAAATGCCAAAAAAGGGTGACAGGTGCAGAAGAACTAGAAGACGCTCGGCACCAGTGGAAGCAGTAGAACTATCTAACTTCTTTCAGTTACTTGAGGATGAGCTCGGAGGGCAGTGTCCTGTGGAAGAACTAAGAATCCCATGCAACACTGCACAAGAGACTAAAGGTCAGCCAAGTAGCGGCATCGATACTAACGCTTGCAAGAAAAAGAAGAGAAGAGTGTTAGTTGAGGGAGACTCCCTGAGGAGTGGGATGCAACATATGTATATCAAGATGTCCTGTGAACTCGTTAGGTATGCTGTCTTCCTGGATGACAGATTAGTGATATAACTGAAATATTGCCAAGTTCATACAGCCCACTGACACATACCCCTTCTTTCTTATACATGTGGGAACAAATGATGCTGCCAAGTAGAGCTCTGAAGAAATCACACCAGGTTTTGAAGCTTTAGGAAAGAAAGTCAAGAACTTTGGAGCCTAGATTGTTTTGTCTGCAGTCCTTTGAGTTCTTGGAAGAGGAATAGACAGGGAAACAAAAATATTCCAAGTGAATGCCTGGCGTTGAATGTGATGCCAACATGAAAGATTTGGATTCTGAGCCCACGGGCTACACTTTCTGGAAGAAGGGCTGCTGGCAAGGGATGGATTGCACCTTACAAGAACTGGAAAGAATGTGTTTGGCCACAGCATGAAGAAATTTATCAGGAGGACTTTAAACTGAATCCTGCAGGGGAGGGAGAAGTACACCTGGGCATAATTACAGACAAAGGCTTATGCAGCACAGCAGAGGAATCAGCTTCAACAGTGCCCAGTACTGGTCTTCCAAAGTGTCCAGGAAGAAAGCTAGAGTAAAAGCACGTGATCTTTGATGTCTATATATTAATGCCTGAAATATGGGAAACAAATGGCATGAACTTGAACTCTTGACACAGGAGGGGGAATGCAACCTGATAGGTATAACTGAAACTTGGTGGAATTACTGCCATGACTGGATTTCAACAACTGAAGGATATAACCTGTTCCAAAAGAAGAGGATGAACAGAAAGGCAGGCACAGTTGCACTATATGTTAAAGATACATATCTGTGTACAGAAATACAGGAGAATGAGCTTAGAAACCCCATCAAGAGCATCTGGATTAATATAAATGGAGCAAGGAATAGAAGGAACACAGTGGCTGGGGTCAATGAAAAGACAAGGATGAAATTTTTGAAAAGCAAATTGCCCTCAAGTAGGCATGATGTTGTTGTTGTGGGGGACTTCAATTTCCCTGGTATCTGTTGGGACACAAATTCTGTTAACCCCTCCAAGAGATTCCTAACATGTGTTGCTAATACTTTCCTCCAAAAGAAAGTGGAGGAAGGAAAGAGGAACAGCTATCCTTGACTTGATACTAAGCAACAAGGAAGACCTTTGCAAACTCTGGGGAAAAGTGACCATGCCATACTTGTATTCTTGCTTCTAAAGGAAGCAAAAGCCAAATGTAGCCAAACATATATCCTGGATTTTAAGAAAACCAATTTTAATAAACTCAGAACAATGATAAGCAAAGTCCCATGGCAAGTGATTCTAATGAGCAAAGGAGTCCAAGATGGGTGGGAATTTTAAAAAAGGAAATTCTAAAGGCACAATTACAAACAATTCCTACAAGGAGAAAGGGTAGAAGACAACAGAAGTCCACAAAAAGCTTAGAGATGATTTGAAAACAAAAAAGGACAAGCACAGGAAGTGGAAGGAAGGCCAGACTACCAAGGAAGAGTACAGGTATGTAGCATGGAATTGCAGGGATGGTGCCAGGAAGGCTAAAGCTAGGAATGAATTGAGGCTAGTGAGGGATGGTAAATGCAACAAAAAGGTCCCCTTCAGATTTGTCTAAAGTAAAAGACAGAGGAAAGAAATGAGGGTTCAGCTACTCATTGTGGATGGCAAAATGATAGATGACAAATAAAAGGCAGGAATCCTCAATTTCTGCTTTGGCTCAGTCTTCTCCCAAAAGAAGATCTGTGACCTTCCTGATGAAGGAGAAGTACTGAAAGAGCAGAATTGAAACTCAAGATTGATAGGCAAATAGTAAAGGATCATCTAATTGGATTGAATGAATTAAAATCCCCAGGGCCTGATGAATTCCATCTGAGAGTCATAACGGAGCTGGTGGAAGAACTCTTAGAACCATTTTCTATTATCTTTGAGAAAACATGGCTAAATGTAGACTAGATGGAACAACAATCAGGTGGATCCACAGCTGGTTACAGAATTGGACTCAAAAAGTACTGTTCAATGGCATCTTCTCAAACTGGGGAGAGGAAACAAGTGGGGTCCTGCAGGGTTCAGTTCTGGGCCCAGTGCTCCTCAACATCTTTATTAATGATTTGATGAGGAAGGGCAGGGAACAATTATCAGATCTGGAGGTGATGCAAAACTGAGTGGTATAGTTAACACCCTGGAAGTCAGAAGACTTGAGATGATCTTGATAGGTAGGAATGCTGGGCTGAAAACAACAGAATGAAGTTTAGTAGGGACAAATGCCAAGTTCTGCACCTAGAAAAAAGAATTCAAATGCATCGTTATAAAATGGGGAATATGTGCCTGAACAATATTGCAAGTAAGAAGGATAGTGCAATTGTTGTAGATCACAAGCTAAATATGCGTCAACAAGGTGAAATGGCTGCAAAAAGGGCAAATGCTATTTTAGGCTGCATTAATAAAAGTATCACTTCCAAATCCTATCAACTACTAGCTCCCCTCTACACAGCAGTGATTAGGCCTCATTGAAGTATTGTGTCCAGTTGTGGGCACCACAGTTTAAGAAAGATGAAGACAAGCTGGAAAGGGTTCAGAGGAGGGCAGCAAGAATCATCCAGGGACTGGGGAAAAGCCCTGTGCAGAGAGTTTGAAAGAACTGGGCTTGTTTAGCCTCAAGAAGAGGAGACTGAAGGAAGATATGATAGCACTCTACAAGTACTTGAAAGGCTTTCCTGAAGAGGCAGTCTTCTTGATCATCCCAGAGTGTAGGACATGGAATTCAGGATTTAAGTTACAAGAAGCTAAATTCTGACTAGAGATCAGGAAAAAATTTCCTGACTGTTAGAGCAGTGTGTCAATGGAACCAATTGCTGAGGGAGTTTGTGGGCTCTCTCTCACTAGAGGCTTCAAGATGCAACTGGCAGCAATCTGAGGGGGATGGTTTAACTTGGAGTCCTGCACTGAGCAGGGGGCTGGATGCGATGACCTTCTGGCCCCTTCCAACTCCTGACGTTAGCTTCTATATTTTAATGGGAAATGGATGATATTTTGAGACAACCAATTCAGAAATGGGGTCACCTGAAGAACAAATCTCCCTTTCATATATTCCAAATTCATGAAGTAGCATTGTATTATATCTGCTCCCCACCCCCTTTTA